TGTGAATTTTACGATATCGCTTGCCAGATGTTTTATGACACTAGTACAAATAATTGTGAGCAAAAGGGTTTGAATTCTAGTGTGAATTTTACGATATCGCTTGCCAGATGTTTTATGACACTAGTACAAATAATTGTGAGCAAAAGGGTTTGAATTCTAGTGTGAATTTTACGATATCGCTTGCCAGATGTTTTATGACACTAGTACAAATAATTGTGAGCAAAAGGGTTTGAATTCTAGTGTGAATTTTACGATATCGCTTGCCAGATGTTTTATGACACTAGTACAAATAATTGTGAGCAAAAGGGTTTGAATTCTAGTGTGAATTTTACGATATCGCTTGCCAGATGTTTTATGACACTAGTACAAATAATTGTGAGCAAAAGGGTTTGAATTCTAGTGTGAATTTTACGATATCGCTTGCCAGATGTTTTATGACACTAGTACAAATAATTGTGAGCAAAAGGGTTTGAATTCTAGTGTGAATTTTACGATATCGCTTGCCAGATGTTTTATGACACTAGTACAAATAATTGTGAGCAAAAGGGTTTGAATTCTAGTGTGAATTTTACGATATCGCTTGCCAGATGTTTTATTGCATTTTACTTTCTCGCATTCTCAAACAACTCCTTATCAATATTTTTATTTGAATGATTATTTGTATTTTTTTTCTTTTTAGTTTTAATCGTAGCAGACGTCTTAACAATATTGAATTTTTTTATAATTATTGAAAATTTCATTTTTTTTTACATTTATTTTATAGCAACATAATATTACAGATTACCTGTTCAGGGTTGGAGGACCTCATAAGAAATTTAATTTTCCTAAATTTGTAAATTATTGCTCGCAAGATCGTAAACATTGACTCCGAAATTTCTCGATAAAATTGAAGCCTTTGCTTGCGAACGTCCTGTAATGTTTATTTAGTTTTCGCATAGCAACGTCGTTTGACTTCTACAAAATTTGTAGAGCCTTGTTTTTCTACTGTTCTCGAACGTTCTAGAGCTTTGACTCTGCCGTCATGCAAGACTTTCGGCATGGCAACACCTATGCATTGTTGCCAGCTAAGTAATCTTCCGTGCGCATATTTAAAGGATGCATGCGACAAGCTCGCTTTCTTAATGAAGACGCCATGGCACGGATCGCGGTCTGCCTTAGCAGGACAGCCATGGAATAATCAATATATCTCAACAGAGTCGCCACGGACCGAATAAGCCTTCAGTTTCATGCGCGTATTCAACAGGCTTGTAGGCTCACTGTAAATTTCTCAATCAATCAGTTATCAATTATTACTCTAGACAGGAACTAAACTCCGCCTTACACCAGTCAGTCAGTTTTACAATATATACGCACATAATTCTGTCAGACTTTACAACAATAAGCTAGTAAGTCAACAGTGAAGTCACAATTATTTATAACCATTTAAGAGCTGATTGTATTACAAGAGTGAATTACATTACATGAAGCGTACCACCAACGCACTCATCACAGAATTAGCTAAGACAATGAATTTTTGTGAATTTAATTGAAGGAGAAACCAAATATTGAAAGCACGTACACGCTAGTCTCGTACGGCACTGATGGTGCAAATACACCAGCCGCGATTGGTACTATACGATTGCAAGGCTCTTGCGAACGGGTGTACGAAGGGATACCAGTTACAAGGGCAGTTAGTTGAGTGAATCAAGAAGAGTCGTCTTAACTACTGTCTTCCCACTCGGATATACGGACAAGGTGCTGTGCTTTCGTCATACACCTCCTGTAAGACGAACCTTTCCCTTGATACTCCGGACAAGGCTCTGTCCTTTCGCCTCGTGCAAGACGAACTTTCCCCTTCATACTCAAGATGAGGCTCTGTTCTCTAGCCATACGCCTCCTGCAAGACTAGTCTTCCCATTCACACTCCGGACGAGGCGATACGCTTTCGCCATGCGCCTCCTGAAAGACTAGTCTTCCCAATCATGATCTCCGGACAAAACATTGCGTTTTCTGCATGCAATTCTGCAACTACCTATTGCAAAGGATCCACTGAGTGCCCGTTTAATTCCATGCAATTACCAACAAGGAACGGTAGGGTCTGAACGATTCTCACTACCAACGGTCAATCACATTTGCATGTTTATAATTCAAAACGAAATAAATTTCACGAAAACCAATTGTGTTAATTATTTAATTGAAGCATTACCCTCTCACTCATTCACACTTTGCTACTAATGAAATAGTGGGTATCGTCTAATCCAATCATCTTGGTCTGTTGACCTCCAGGTGTCTTGAATTCCAAACATTCGAATTATCAATTCTATGCCTATTATAATTCAAAATTTCAAAGATTAATTAAAATTCCATCTGTAATCTTATAGTTATATATTTGTACAAAATACAACTCGTCGTTCCGACTTGTTTTATCAAGGCCGGTTCGACGGGTACAATTTGATGCCGTTGACAACTCAAAGACCACGGGTGTTGTGTGGTAGCAATGAAAGGTCATAAGTATAATTATAATAATACAATATAAATGTGACTGAAGTATTTACTTTTTATTCTGTTATTTATTGTTGACAAGGTTGACTATTATTATTATTAATTATAGATCAACTCTTGGGTTGAATTAATGTGTTGCGGAGGCAAACGCACAGTAATCTATGCAGCTTGATTATTGAGTACGAATGTCGAATGGCGCGAAGTTTCGTTCGTCGGCACTAGCGCTGTTTGAATGAGCACGTGTGTGGTTGAGGTTATGAATGCAGCGTAATGAGTAAATGTTACTGCAGAGTGGCACGAACTTGATTCCTAAACACTCGCACTATTTGGTGTTTAATTTCATAAGCGTCCGAGCTTGAACTAAGATGAAGATTGCCAATAGGGACGCCCCTTTTTCGGGCACGAACTTGACGACGCGTACTGGAATCTTTTCCGCACTGTCGTTCTAGGAGGAGCTTCTTCGCCCTTAGGTGCTTGTCGATGTAATACTCTGAATCTCAAATATATGTAATTATTGTAGTAATAATACTACTTACGAAAACTAAACGTTGAACTACGTTAATGGACATACGATGTATGTTGTCGTTCCTCCAGACCTTGTAACTACTGTTCCAATAACAGTGTTAATGGACTTTCACTAAACTTAACCGTGTATGAAATATCTCAAAGGTATACTATATTGAGGGAGTACTACTAAAAGTGAAATATCAAGAGTATACTACTAAGAAAGAAATATCAAAAATACATTTGCTGACCATTAATTTGACTTGAACCCCTTCCCTTGTTTTTCGTACAATCAGAGACTCCTCCCTTATAGTGCGAGGGCAGCGCCTATTGTGGCTTCGGAGTTAATAAAGGGCCTAGTCGTCTCTTGGTTTTCATGACAAGAAGACCTTTCGTTGCTGCTGCCGCATGCGACAGCATGTTGACAGCGGGAAGGGGGGCATCACTGACGCATCTGGTGACAGCGGGAAGGGGAAGGAAGGTCCGCTTGCAGTAATGCTTGAAGTAGTTACCGAGCGGAACGAAAATGCAGATGTCTAACTATGGGTTTTTCCCGTGTTTATTGTATTGTGTTTTTCCAGATGTTTTATGACACTAGTACTTGATAATTTCGAGCATGAAAGTTTTGAAATCTAAATACAAATTTTACGATGTTACTTGCCAGATGTTTTATTGCATTGACAAAAAAAGGAAAAGGTCTCGCATTCTCGAACAATATTAATGTGTTTAATATTCTTCAATTGTGAATATTTTATTTGTAGTAAATAGTTCATAAATGCCTATTTGTGTTGTGATTATATGAAAGATTTCTGTGTAAATAATGAAAGAAAAAATTGAGTTGGAAAAATTACGTGTTTGGAACGCTTCCCATTTACGAAAATTTGTAATTGCGGCTTAATGCACTTTGAAAAGTGTGAAATTCAGAATATTCTCGACTTTAACTTTTATTTCATATGTATCAAAATACATTTATAGCATCTAACTATAATATTATATCTATTAAAAACAATTTTTCCTTCTATTTATAGTTTTGTATTTGATAATTATAATCATTATTCAACTTTTTTTTGTTTTTTTATAAATGTCTACAAATCTTTGTACAGTCATTGAAATATATTTGAATAGTGTAATCAGATATCATATAAAACATTGATGATATAACGTATACGCGAAATTAATGCAGTTCAAGAAATGTATAATTGGTAGCTATAGATGTACAATTAAATTATAGATAGTTATAGTTTCAATTATAATAAGAAAATATACTTGAAAATAAAAAAAATTGATTTTTCTTTTGATTCTATAAAAAAGTAGCTGCAACATTGTAAATGTTATAAAATTTCGAGCATTCAATATGATACTCTTTTGCATAGAATTAAAAAATAAGAAAATTTCTTTTAAATGTTTAATTTTTCTTCCTTTATATTTTTAGGTAATTTTTACTAATTAAAAATCAAATATATCATACACATTACATTTGTTGCGTATTAATGCAAATGGGTATTGTGGATTTATATATTGAATATATATATATATATATATATATATATCCTGATAAATATATATATGATATATATTCATATCATCATCACAATATATAAATGAATATATACCCTCATTGTGATAATTTTACATGCTTGTTATTTAGTAGCCAAACACAATATTAATTATTCTTTTCTATACATTTTTTTTTTAATATTATCGATTTTATTCAATTATTTGTTGAATTTTTATTTATTATAAACCATTTTTAAGAAATAGAAGCCTTATATTACAGATACATAATCTTTTATTTTATTTATGGTAAATAGTACAATTTATAATTTTTACCTTCCTTATTATATTATCACTGTATCTACCTATATTCGATCAAACATAAATCTTGATAAATATCATCAAGTATTTAATTAATTGTTTCAAAATTTAGTTAATTAATATTTAAATAATACAAAAAAAATTTATGATTATTTAATTATTTATTTTAATATATTTAAAAGAAAAGAAGAATTTGAATAAATGAGGAAACTTTTATTTCAATTGCATCTAAATTAATAAATTAATATAATAGTGCACTAATTTTTATATTTGGTATTCATTCATAGGATAGTTTTAAACTTCGTCTTAGTATAAGTAAAGTGGATGCTTTACAAAAAGAGCGAAAATCTCTACTTTTAAAAGTAGGTTTATCATCAGTTAATGAATATTTAATAAAACCCGAATCAGAGCCAATTTCTTCACAATTACTCGGCTTTCTTCGTATACTCAATATGAATAAAAAACAACTTGATTACTGGATAAAATCTAGTGAAACGTCGGATCTTATGAACCCAAAAAGTGTATATTTTGAAGCTCTAGATAAAAATGTTTTAAAATATATTGTAACGAGACTCAAACTTTTATTATCAAAGTATCCGTCATCAGAGCAGGTATTTTTATTTCATAATATTTCATAATAAACTCAATATAAGACATAATCAATAATATTTTACATGATATGATTAAAAAATTCAATGTAAATGCAAAATAAAATTAATCTATTAATAATGTTCCAGAATGATGTTAAATTAATTGAGAACACTTCGCAAAATTGGAGTAAACTTGTATTACGAATGAGATTATGCGAAAGAAAGTTACTGAGTAATATAATAGAAATTTTAGATAATAAAATGAATTAGATATTGTTTAACATATGTATTAGATAAATAGGTATATTTATCCAAATTTATACATGTATATGTATTTTTAATTTTGCTGAACAAGATATTCTAATAAAATATTATATACACAAACACAACATGTTAAAGGTATTATATATTTATATAATCATTTTTCATTTGAATCGACTTCCGAAATTAATAATAAGCATACATTTCACAAATGTTGTATTTTTTAAAATATACATTCGTTTGATATCAATCGAATTCATTATTTTGAAATTTAATCTTAAAATTCTGTATTCCGTTCTAATTTATCCTTTTATGTTTATCTGGATAGCTGGTATATTATTATCTTATAATTTATTTTTTGTAGTTTTAATAAATATCATAAAGATAATTATAAAAGAAGGCAATATAAAAAAAAAGCTAGCAAGATTTGCACTTAGTTTTAAAGCTTATCACAAATATGAAAAGTACTCTAATATCTAAAATAATTCTTAACTTGACTTATTATTTATTTTCTGTAATTTTTTATTCATTTCAACACAGATTGCTATAAGTTCTTATTAGTAAAATATTGTTTTCTTTTTTATTTTTTTAAAACAATTTAATACTTTAAGCACATTTAATAGATAACACTTGTTCGAGATTGACGCAGTTTCCACAAATTTAAGAAAAAGTGGGTTATACGCGCTGTGCGGCATACGGCACGCGCACTCGGACGTATGTTTATAAACAAAACTTGGCACGTCCGAACAAGTTTTACGACATAAAATCTAATAAATTATAAGATCATACAAAGGTATTACGCTCTATTTTTCTTTAACGAATTCTCGAAGGTTCTAGATTTTTCTTTCTACGCCTCGTGTAAGAATTAGTGCTATAACGACGATGCTTTGTTGCCAACTAAGTGGCATATAGCATATAAAGCAAACACGCGACGCACCTCGCTCTCTCGTTGAAAATCTCTCTTGCTGACCGGCTCTCTTGCCGAACCATCCCCGCTCAACTGCGCTTGCAGCTAACACCTTGCCGTGACCCGACCGCAGTGAACCGACCACAGTGAACCCTCTACCAGTAGAAGCCATGGTACACAGGTCTCGATCTGCACTCAGCAGGACCGCCATAGAACGGTCGGTATTTTCAGCAGAGCTGCCAGGGAATGATCAAGCCTTCGGTTCGTGCGCGTATTCAAAAGGCTCATACGCTCATTATAATCTTACTTCGCGCCCACTTAAATGTAATTGCCTCTCAGTGTTTTAGTATACTGTGAAGATGACACGTGGCCATATACGTGGTCGGCATTCTGGTTAATAATACACGTGTGCATCAATAAAAGGAAATCGGCAGATTTGGAAGTGAGTTACAGTGTAGCCAGTTGATATAGTAATTAAAGGAAACATTAGCCTCGCAATAAAACAACACACCTTGTCATCATTTTACAAGGTACATTTTTTATATTAATAAATAAGCTAGTCACACCTCGCACAAGAATAATCGGGCAATTTCACATTCTCTCGGTCGAACCAACGCTTCGACCTCGTACAGGCCCTCAACAGCCGACACAAGTGTCGGTATGCGTTAAACACGTTGTCAAGGAAGGACAACAATAGATCGACTAATCCGCCATAAATACATATCATTAAATCCTTCAAGAGCTCGAAAGCTGATCATTAATGATTCTTACCTGTGACTAGACTCCTTCCTACCCCCATAAATAATTAATGACACAATTGATTACTCACTAAATTCCATTAAACATTTTACACCATATCAAGTATAGTTATTCCAAATATCAAACATACTTGATTCAAACACCTCATGAGCATGATTGACTACACCTGCTGATATTTACAACATCAGCCTAACTTCAACTTCAAGATACAGTCATATCCATAGAATCTACGATAATCAAGACTACAAGAACACACCCTCATTACTACAATAGAATAATCCTTTCTCAACAACACTGCAGTATTACTATTATAATTATTAACAAATAATAAACATTTTTTTACTAAAATACATAATATTTTTCAGCCCTTTCACTTATTATTGCCTTCCTGACGAGAGACTAATCCACTGAACTATTGAATTGGTAGTTCGAGCCATAAACTAAACCTTTAAAATCGAACAACACTATAATAAATTTTCATTTCTCTGTAATGCTGAGTTTACAGCAGTCTATACTTACAGTATTAACTAATTATATCAAATGATAAGATATGCTTCTCATCTTCATTACCGGTAATTTTTGGAATAGTTTTATTATGCATTTTTATTTTAAAGTATTTTCTATTTTAATTTTAATATTAAATCATGCCATTGATTGCTTTAAAATTATAATTTGTATACTTGTTTGGAATTCCAGCCATCAGAATGGTTCGAAGACCAAGGTAGTTGGATTAGACCGTACCACCGGTTTAATGGTAATGGGGGGGGGGGGGGAGTGACATGTTAGTGCATCAATTCAGTGTAAACACAATTGGTTTCAGTGACTTTTATTTAAGGTTATGTTACATTGGTAGTTGTTGTTACCGATCGTTATGAGAATTGTTGAGATCGTCGTGAATTTAACAGTTGGCAATAACTGTAAAACATCGTCCCGGTGTGCAAGGTGAGAATGGTCTTTGCATACTGTAGGCAGTTTATTGTACTGGCGAAACATAACTGTAATTACCGAAGAAGTCGCCAGAGACGTGTGGCCATGGGCGCTCTCATTGGCGATATGAATTGTGAGGACTATCTAGTCAATGTCGGTGGCCTCTTTAGCGGTCTGATAACAATCAAGTTGCAAAGTCCTGACCGAGGATGTCGGCACTGTGTCACAATAATAACGGCATCACCGGAATTCCCAGACAGTATCGGCAGCTTCTTCTACGGTCTGATAATAATCAGGTTACAGAAACCCGGCTGATACTGCCGATGCTGCGCCGAGGTGACGATAGTCTATCCCGAGTTACCAGACCGATAATGTTGGCGATATGTTGTAATAACAATCAAGTTGCGAAGGCCTGACTGATATTGTCGGAGCTGAGTCGCAATAATATATGATACAAATAGATTGCTGTAGATGTCAGTCTATGTCGTCGTCCTGAATGCGGACTGACTATAGTCAAGTTGTGGAGGGTGCACCGATAGCTGCCCAGCAATAGATAATAAATAATGTAAACAAATAAGTATACCTTGCACGGATTTCCGTAGACAGACGTGTACAACTTTTAACTGTTATGACTTGCACTAATTTCACTTTGACTTACTCAACAAGACTGATTTTCTTCGTCGTCCGTTCTTCCTTATATATGATTGCGTACATTAAGAGTTTGTAATTCTTGAAAATCCTGTCAAATTCTCGGAAAGCATGCTTTAGTAGATTCTTGAATTTTCCATTATGGTTATGCGGATACAGCATAAGGCTTAAATTTCATCGACAATTTTCATAACGAATACTTCAAATATTACGTATTAATAATAAATAAAAATGTAATGAAATCACATTAAATAAAGCATTAAATTTATATTTCTGGGTAGTTCAATCCTGAGCAATACTGTTTTCGAAGAGTATTGTTTATTTTTTAATATAAATTTATGCGATAGTCTAGTTTATTTAACTTTTTTAAATGTTATTCCTTCTTCTACAGTTGTAATTTATTGGTTCACAAAACATAGAATTAAAATATTACAAGAGGTTTATATTCATTTTATGATGTTTAAACATATTTCACAATAATTTATTCTAATTTACAGTTGTAAAAGTTCAAACTTTTTACGATTTTCAGCGTTATGATACCACTATTGGAAATATTTTTATTATTTCAATATACTACTGAATATTATTATTCAATATATGCATACTACTGAAATTTAAACTGAATAATGAAATTGAGCACAGATATGGCAGACAGACAGAGCATGATATGGCTGAAGTATATGCTCTTTATTCTGTTATTTATTAATGACAAGTTTGACTAGTATTACTATTATTACTTATAGAACTAAATTCTTGGATTGAATTAATATGTTGCGGAGGCAAACGTACAGTAATCTATGCAGCTTGATTGTTGAATATAAATGTCGAATGGCGCGAAGTTTCGTTCGTCGACACTAGCGCTGTTTGAATGAGCACGTGTGTGGTTAAGATTATGAATGCAGCGTTATGACTGAATGTTACCGCAGAATGGCGCGAAACTTGATTTGTCGACACTGGCGCTGTGTGTTGCTTAATTTCATAAGCTTCCGAACTTGAACTAAGGTGAGGGTTGCTGAAAGGGACACCCCTTTTGCGGGCGCGAACTTGACGCTGCGTACTGGAATTTATTCCGTACTGTCGTTTTAAGAGGAGCTTCATCGTCCTTAGTGCTTGTCGATGTAATACTCTGAATCTCAATATATATGTAATTATTGTAGTAAAAATACTACTTACGAAGACTAATCGTTGACTCGTCTTCGGACTCTGATAGGCGGATTGTCGTCGCTCCCTTGGAACATGTAACGACAGTTTCTTGAACGGCGTTAGTGGACATACGGGCTTATGTCGTCGTTCTTCCAGGGCTTGTAACTACTGTTCCAGTACCAGTGTTAATGGACAATCCGAAGTAGTGTAAGTCGTTTCCCGCAATAGAGTTAAATCGACTTTCACTAAATTTAACTGAGTATGAAATGTCTCAAGGGTTTAATATATTGAGAGAGTATTACTAAACGAGAGATATCAAAAAAAGAGAGAAAACAATTAAATATCACGAGTGATAAGTAGAGTTAAGTAATGAAAGTAAATGAGTATTGAAAATTGCGCCCCTTAAATACATTTTGCTGACTATGAATTTGACGTGAACCCCTTCCCTTATTTTCTGTCCAATCAGAGACTCCTCCCTTATAGTGCGAAGTCAGCGCCGCTTTTGGCTTCGGAGTTAATTAAGGGCCTAGTCGTCTCTGGGTCTTCATGATGAGCAGATCTCTCGTTGCTGCTGCTGCATGCGACAGCATCTGGTGACAGCATTGCAACTTGTAGACAGCGGGAAGGGAAAGGAAGGTCCGCATGCAGTAATGCTTGATGTAGTTACCGAGCGAAACGAAAGTGCAGATGTCTAAACTATAGGTTTTCCCGTGTTTATGGTATTGTATGTGGGCAGCAGAAAGGGGGGGGGGGCACCGCTGACACATCTGGTGACAGCATTACAACTTGTAGACAGTGGGAAGGGGAAGGAAGGTCTGCTTGCAGTAATGCTTGATGTAGTTACCGAGCGAAACGAAAGTGCAGATGTCTAAACTATAGGTTTTTCTGTATTTATGGTATTGTTTTTTCCAGATGTTTTATGACACTAGTGCTTGATAATTTTGAGCAAGCGAAGTTTTGAAATCCAAATACAAATTTTACGATGTTACGTTCCAGATGATTTATTGCACTGACAAAAAAAAGAAAATGTTCTTGCATTCTCGAACTGTTCGGGATTGAAGCAGTCTCATGAATTTCAAACAAAAGAAAGGTCATATACACAGTCCGGCGTACCGCATGTGCGCCTAGACTGACCGCGCGTGCAGCAAGGCTGACCACCACGTGTGCCTAGGCTGATCCGCACGCGCGAACCAAGGCGGGTACTCGAGAAAGATGTTTACAAACAAAACTCGGCAAGTCCGAGCAAGTTTACGATTTGAAATATTATTTACTGCCAGCACTCACAAAAAAGGGACGCCTTCGAAACTTCTAGAAGCTTCGTTTTCTCACGCCAAAGGAAAATTTCTGGAAGGGACGCGCATCGACACTGTTGCCGGCGCTGAAGACGCCGCATGCACATTTAAGCGCAACGCGCCATGAGGCGAAGCTCATTCGTAAATTCACTCCGCTCTCAATCAAGCGTAACTGCCGGTCAGTGCAAGTATACTGTAAAGACGCCGCGTGCCCACATTTTCGACAACATAAGCTCACTCGTAAAGTTCACTTCGCTCTCCATCAAGCGTAACTGCCGGTCAGTGCAAGTATACTGTAAAGACGCCGCGTGCCCACATTTTCGACAACATAAGCTCACTCGTAAAGTTCACTTCGCTCTCCATCAAGCGTAACTGCCGGTCAGTGCAAGTATACTGTAAAGACGCCGCGTGGCCACATTTTCGACAACATAAGCTCATTCGTACAATCACTTCGCTCTCAATCAAGCGTAACTGCCGGTCAGTGCAAGTATACTGTAAAGACGCCGCGTGGCCACATTTTCGACAACATAAGCTCATTCGTACAATCACTTCGCTCTCAATCAAGCGTAACTGCCGGTCAGTGCAAGTATACTGTAAAGACGCCGCGTGGCCACATTTTCGACAACATAAGCTCATTCGTACAATCACTTCGCTCTCAATCAAGCGTAACTGCCGGTCAGTGCAAGTATACTGTAAAGACGCCGCGTGGCCACATTTTCGACAACATAAGCTCATTCGTACAATCACTTCGCTCTCAATCAAGCGTAACTGCCGGTCAGTGCAAGTATACTGTAAAGACGCCGCGTGGCCACATTTTCGACAACATAAGCTCATTCGTAAAATCACTTCGCTCTCCATCAAGCGTAACTGCCGGTCAGTGCAAGTATACTGTAAAGACGCCGCGTGGCCACATTTTCGACAACATAAGCTCATTCGTAAAATCACTTCGCTCTCCATCAAGCGTAACTGCCGGTCAGTGCAAGTATACTGTAATTGACTGACGACATCAGCTGACATTGACAACATCAGCATAACCTAGCATAACCAAGACAGAAATATCCAAAGAAGCCTTTATGGCATAAAAATCACAAGAACACATCTTTTGAATAATCCAACAGAATTTCTACACAACAGTGCAATATTATAATAATTGTTTACACTCATTAACCTTATTTTTAAATAAATATATTATATTTTTCAGCCTTGTCCGTTATTGATTTCCTTTAAAATTATCCTGCCGAGAGACTAATCCACTGAACTATTGAATTGGCAGTTCGAGCCATAAGCTAACCCTTTAAATCCGAACACGAACACTTATAAATAAAGCATCAATTCTCCTTCTTAGTTGCCTTGAGTATTAGTATTTTTTGTGTTAATCTCGCTAGCAATTTTTTCTTTACGTAAAATTGCTATTTCTCTTTATCATTAATGACTGAATAAGCTTGATTTTTAATATTTTTATTAAATCTAATTTTCTTAATTTTAGACGTAATGTCGATGTTCTATTGTACTTTTATCAATGTAGTCTGAAATCTTATCCTAGCTATCATTTAATTGGCTTTCTGAATATAAAGCAGTCTTGAAATACTTCTCTATATTTTGTCATATCTCTATGAGAACATAATTTTATTAAAAAAAAATTAAGTTTAAAATATAGAAACAATTTTTTTTATTAGAAATACATATAGCTAATTACGAATATTAAAGATTGAGGATGTACTGTTTTATTTTAATTTATTTATAGAACTTATGCAGTGTTCTAACGAAACTGCTTTTTCAATAAAAATAAACTCTACATTTTTTAGAAATATTTAAATGAAGGTTCGAAAAATTAAGTATATTTAATTAAATTTTTTAAAGCAATCTTAGAGATAAAAAAGCGAATTATAAATTATATATAAAAGAAACATTTTGATCCTATGTAAATGTTAGAAGAAACTAATTTTCATTGATTTTCATATATCTATATTTTATTATTGCATAAATAAATAAATAAACATTCATAACTAAGTTAAAACTGTATTATAAGATAATGTTCCGAATATTAATGTCTGGGATCAGACTAAAAACTTCCCTGAGATGATGAAGGGAGGCTTGCTGGCAAGTGGAATGGACAATACAATAATTCAATACTACCTTTATATGAGTTGGTTTTCCTTTTATTGAATATAATGATATAATAAATAATCAGTGGTCTAATGAGGTGAGATTGAATGAATGATACAATAAATAAGTGAGAGTTTCCTCAACTAGTATGAGTGATAATAAACTTGTAAGTTTATTCTTGTTGTGACGCGTAATTATCCTACTCGTGGTTATGACTTGTAGTGGTAGTGGGAGATGCGCTGATGGAGGGTAATAATGCCGTGAAGAGTATCACGGTGTGAAAAGGGAGTGTTGACGCCACCGATAAGCCGTTGTGGCATTGATGTGTGACGTCACTGATGAAGGGCAATGATGATGCCGTGGTCTAGGTATTGCTGCTTACTTAACTCACAGAGCCGTGTGTTAGTAATTCGTAAAAAGGCGTGTAATAGCGCAGCTTACGTGTGGAGTCGATCTCAGTGTGGTGGCGCGTAAGAATGTGTGTAATAGCGTGACTTACGTGTAGAGTCGATCTCAGTGTATTGATGGCACGTAAGAACGTGTGTAATAGCGTATCTTACTTTTATTGATGTCGATCTGTATGGTAGTAGTAAGCTGAATGTGTATAGCTTACGTGTTAGTTTGAGATAATCTGTGTGTAAATGGTGTTACCTTGTAGGACGGTGATTTGATCTTGATGACTGCTTGATTGAATTAGTAAGAGGATGATAGAGTGAAGAGCAGCTCCTTAAATATTCTCGTACGAATTTGGTTCGCCGAATAGCGCATCGGTGGCTATTGCTATGCCGATATTTATCGTGACGTGAACAGGGCATAGACTTGTAGGGTTCATTTGTTATTACTTTTATGAATTGTAGTCGAATTCGAGTTTTTCGGTTAGAAGCATTCACTCTCACTTTTATTACGCTTAATAATGCTGCAATCCGTAACAATTAAAAACTACTTCAATAAATGTAAAATATAAATAAATTATTTTTATTAATACATGATGCTGGTAAGGAACGATGGATAATAAAAATTGGAATTATTCATTGAGTTCAAAGGTTTTATTTGTTACATAAATTCTGAGATTCTATTACAAATATTTAAATATTTTTTGCTTACAATAAATAATTGTACTTCAAAGTATTTTATATTTAATATTTTTACTCATATATACAATTATTTTAAGTAATTATAAATAAAAAATCATTACATTTTATTTTAAATATGTTTCGAATCTCTTTATTAGAAATTACTCTAAACAAAAATATTTATTAAAACAAAAATAAAATACAAAATTCATTAAATACAAGTATTGTTGCAAAAATGATGCTGTAAAAATTAATATAAATTAATATTATATTAATATAATCAGTTACTTTTATTATAATAATAATGTTATTTTGGTTTAATAACATATATAATTTTGAATATAACTTTATGTATGTATATACTTTAGTTTTTCGATATATTATATTTATTTGATTTTATAGTTAAGTAATAAATACTGTGAATCTTCTCTAATGCAGCATTAAAGTAAATACATTTTATTTAACGTATTGCATTACAGTCTAAATTATACATAGCTAGTTTATTTTAAATACAAGATTTATTATAATCATTATTTCGTACAGGTATTGGTGGTTTTCCTGATGATCTGACCGGTATTGGAGGAGGTAAACTAATTGGTGGTACTGATAACGCAATTGAAGGTGTTGAAGTTTGATCACGTAGTGGTAAAGGTGGAGGATCTGTCACGACTTGATTTGATAATTTAGAATGTGTATATATTGAAATTGATTCAGGATTATTGATTGAATTATCAACGGAAGTAATAGCAACAATCTCTGGGATTTCCTCATTTTTAATTTCGATAGGTTGTTTATTCAACTGTTTAGTTTGTAATAATGTTGGGCGAAAAATATTTTGTTTTTTAGATATTACGGGTTGTGGTGGTCTCGCAGGAGGAATTGATTTAGGAGACGTTGATGTAGCGGAATGACATAATTTAAATTTTCTTGGTATTGTACTTAAAATAGCAAGGTTTTCTGTATTGTCTATATTTTCAAGAATATCAAGTTCTTTTTGGACGTTTGATATCCAATTAGGCGATTTTAGTATTATTTCTAATTTTTGATCGCAGACATTTACAATTTTTTTTTTAGCTGCAGCTAAAGCACTTTCGCTATTTCGAAATGTAATCCATATTGTATTACCTACTAAACGTACAAGTATTATTTCACCTAATTCAGAAAATTCTTGCACTAGAAGATTCATAAAATTATCTTCAAAGATACTTTCTAGATCAATGCAATCTTCATCAACACGTAAAATTATTGTTCCATCAGGCGGACCTAATTGTCTATTAACATCTTCAAAAATTATATCACGTTTAATTGTATCTACGCAGTGAACATCAATATCGATCGTAGCTATTACTGGTCTATGATCACTTTGCTTTAATTCGCTTCTACAATAATATAGTAATTTACCAGAATTCCAATCCTCGTTGAAATCTTAAAAACAAATGTAGTTTTTTTAGTTTTTTGTTTTATAACTTTTTTTTCATAAATTTTACTAACAAATTTTAATTAATTTTTCTTACCTTTATCATATACGAATTTTTGACGTTTCCATAAAACTCTATCAGTCCAAGCAGGTTGCCGACATTTCTCACTAGTATCATAATCATCAGAAAACAGGTCATATTTATAAGTAGGAAGAAAATTTATAGATCCTTCCAAAAAATTCTGAAATACATTTCCAAGCTGCTGTTGATTCTACAAGACAGTAATTCTGTAATGTTCTATTAATACCTTAGCTAATACTTGGTAGTTTTATAGTATACTTCATATATTATAATAGTTTATAACATTATTTATAACATTATTATTATTTTTTTTATTTTTATTATCATTATTATCAAATTGAAAAGAAAATAATTGTACATGTGTTTCAGATAATGATTATGTATACTTGAAATATTAGTTGTACTTGGTTATAATAATTTGAGAAACATTAGCATACTAAATTATGATATTTATAAATAGAATTTAGTTAAAGTAATTAATTGGGAATATTTGTTACTGTCTGGGATCAGACTTAAAACCTCCTTATGATGGTGGGTGGAGGCTTGCTGGCAAGTGGAAGGGCAATGCAATTATTCAATACTGCCTTTAATGTTTATTGTCTTTCCTTTTATTAAATATAATAAATATAATAAATAGTTAATGATTGTAAGGTGCATGAATGAAGGTGTGAGTGAATAAATAAGGAAATTTCGATAGAGTGGGGCGCGATCCCATTTCGTTGCAAGATGAGTCGCCGTGGTGGTGGTCGCGCACTGGAGGGGCAAGTCGGACGTTACTGCTCTTGTCGCCGGTGTAGTTGTAGTAGTACGAAACGTGCGTGGTGCGTTGCTTCCGTAAGCATGGGAGCCGGTGTAGTTGTCGCGTCGCTATTAGTTCTTTAGGCTGCTTGATGCTTGCTATGGCTACAATAATCGCGATTGCAGGTTGGATAGCGAACACGATGTGGAGGGTGCGTGATTGGTACTGGCAAGAGAGAAAACGCGGCAAGTGCAGCTCCTTAAATATTCTCGTACAAACTTGCGGCGCCGATACCGCAATGGTGACTGTTGATATATCGATATTTATCGTGACGTCAATAGGGCATAGCTTTGTAGGGTTCATTGTTATTACCTTACGGAATTATAGTCGTAGATTCGTCTTTCGATGTAGAAGCAGTTTTTCGAGTTCGTTAGCCAGTGTTTATAAACAAATGTTCGCGCGCTCATACCTCTCCCACTTTGTATTCTGCTTTCAATTGTTTCAATCCGTAACAGTTACTTAACTATTGAACTTTTACAATATGCAAATAAAATTGACATCCATAATTGATTTAAAATTTTAAAGATTACGTTTTTGAAAAATAACAATATGGTTTGTTTTTACAAATTAACAGATATTACCTAATGTAAATTAAAAATCAAATGAAGATTATGAAAAGTACTTAACCACAATTGATTTTACGTATAATTTGTAATATTTCTTTTCAGTAGTCGAATTTGTTTTTTTGAGCTATAAGGGCAATTATTGCTGGAATCTTTGATAGTTGATTGTAGTTTGAAAATCTTTCAGATATCTGGATAGCAATTTATTTTTAAGTCAAGGTTCCGATTTTATAGTACGACTCAATGAGTAATGAGTAATGAGTAATGAGAACTAACGACCAAATGAGTAATTATATTGGAAACTTCGCATTTGTCTTCATCCTGATGACTAGTGAAGTTTACATATTGATATAATCTATGGAAATTTTAAACCAGTTTTGTATTTATTCTTTTTCCTTATCCGATAGTGCGTCGCAATTATCAATACTGCATACGAGAGTAAATACACTTGCTTTTGCTTTATTTGATTTTGAATACACGAGTTCACGTTTGATATATTAAGTAAATGTTTATATTATTATAAAACAGATATTATTTACTACGATTTATTTGTAGGCTACATACATATCTGTCTACATATTGTTCATATCTACTAACATATCTGTCAAAGCTGATTCTGTGCTTGGTTAAGATAGGCAAAAGTGTTGTATATAATCAAAGGATGTTGAATCAATACTAATTATGTATAATACAAATATATAAAATGTTTGTTATAAATAAGTTATAGTTCTCTAAACACCCTATTTTATTTTTAGATATTTATAATAATAAGGGGTGGTTTCATTTATATTTATTCGTTATAAAAAAATATTGCAAATTATTTTAAGTTTATACTTGTCATATTAAAAAATTACACGATGAAGAGATAAACTGTGAATAAACAAAAGTACATAACAATGCATGTTAGTAATTATGACAATTGTAAAATTATGTTACTTTCTTTTTCTGCATGAACTTTTTCACATATAAAGCACATAAATACGAACGAATTTTACGATTGAATAGATATGTCGCGCTTATTTACTTTATGTATATTTATTTATACAGATAGAAAATCTAAATTTTATATACATAAATGAAGATTTATATACTTAATCTTTAATAAAAACAATGTTATTTTTGCCGTTAAAGCATTCCTTAGTAGAAGGTATTTCATAGATTTCATTCACATACTATTTGTAATAAAGAAATCATAAATTAATAAAACATAACACAAATTAATATATTTTTTAATTGTCTTGAATGAATTTCAGTTAACCACGCAATAAATCCTGAGTTCAATTCTAAGCTACTATGTTGAAAGTACAGATTTAGTAAAGTTTTATATTTCAAGTATAATCGAGGTCCATTAGAAAAGCAATAAATATCTACCAAATATTAAACTACTAAAAGATTATATTTTATTTCATTAGTATCGTAACTATACACGTATTTTATCCGATTTTTTTCTCATACATCTGTCCATGAATCGTTAAGAATCTTAACGAGAGAAAGAAAAAATAATTCAAATTTACAAATATTAAGACCAATTTGTGTAAAGTAAATAGTTGAAATAATAATTCTATTTTAATATTATTTGTTCGAATATGAGGGTTTATTTTGTGGCTCGAACTGCCAGTTCATTTGTTCAGAGGATTAGTCTCTCGCCATGGCGATTAATAGGAAAAAACACAAGTGGAAGGGCTGAAAGTTTGTACAATGTATATTCTTGAGTTAATTCGATCGTTTATTCTGGTATATTATCGTTTATTAGTAATTATTATAATATTGCAGTTTTATGTTTGCTTCAAATGAGAGAGGGGAAATTAGTCTATTGCTGTGGTGAGGTTGTTTCTTCGAAGTGATGGCGATTAATATGGATGTTGAATGTCGGGTTTATGCTGATGTTATAAGGATCAGCATGAGTAGTCGACCGTGCTCATTAATGAGCATGGGAAGATGGTAATTGTAATCAGTAGTGCTTAGTAGATGGAGTAAACATACTCAAACGGAGTATGGGAGTATTAGAGAGCTAGTCACACACCAGAACATTAAATGATAAGCCTTCAAGTTCGGAAGGACTTGAAGTAGTTATAGTCGACTATTTAATGAACTGTATTCTGGCTTTGACAATGTAATTAAATTTTATTGGGTGAACGTACGTTCTCAGGCTTGGTCAGTCGGAGACAGCGTATTGCGTCATCTATTTTGGCAGATTTTATCAAATGTAATTCGCGCATGGGTGACTAGCAAAGCATGCTGAATGGCTGCATGGTCACCGCACCGTGTTTCATTACAATTCCAATGGCTTCACTGTTAACTTACTAACTTATTATCGCAAATTCTAGTAATGATGCACGTATATTGTAGGCTGATTGCAGGCATACGACTGAGTTTCGAAGTCGCAAGTAATAACTGATACTAGATAGATTTGAAAATGCACTGATGGTAATAACAGATGAGTGAACGAGAAGTAGAATTACAGTGAGCCTCGACACGTGGCAAGCTGCTCTTAAATATTCGTGTAACAACTTGAAACGCCGGCAACAATGCTGATGCTTGTTGCTATGCCGAAAATCTTAATGATTGTAGTATATTTGATTTTACATTGTAGAAAAATTCCAGAATTCGTTGAGTCGAGTTTACAAACAATTGTGTCCGAGAGCATGTACTGTTCTCTATTTTGAATTCGTGAAGTTAATATTCTACATTTTAATCTAATACACGAACTAAATATTTTTTCAATATTGGAAAATAATACACGTTAGTGTAATAATCATATATGCATACATTGCTTTTTAAAAAATTATTTTAATTAAATAAAAACTATTCTCTTTTCATTAATTAACAATTAATATAAGAAGTTTAATGTGAAATATTAGTGTAATTATTAGTAATAACCAAAGGTTATACAGTTCTATGAAGCATACAAATTATTCATAAATTTTCACTGTATTTTGTAAATTATGTCGAACATACAAAATTATATGTCAATATTTTTTTATAAAATCCTATGCATTTATGAAGAAAATGAAGGTTTGGTAGTATATATGCTTTATAATAAGTAATATATTGGTGAAAATATTTACCTTTAGTTGGTCGCATATTAGTAATTTAGGTATTTGATTATGCTTAATTAATTCTTTCATTTCCTCTTTATCCATATCAATTCTATAATTAAAGTCTCCACACCAAAATATATAATCGTGTGCATTTAAAGTTTGACCTTGTGGAAAGACAATTTTTCTAGTAATTTCTGCATAATCTGCATTTCTTTCATTCACTTGTGACTGACCAGCAGTAAAGTGTGCACAAATACAACAAAATGACGTTGAAAATAATACAAAACGAATAGCAACTGCACCCTTATTGCCTGTAGTACCTCCAAGCCCAGTCTTTACATAATCGACTGCAACATCTCTTAAGAAGTTAGTATATGTTGGTCTTATAAAAATATATAAACAAACACCAACCAACTGTTGATATGTTACAAGGACATATTTATGATCTCTAGATAAAACTTTCTGAAGCTCATCTGCCCAAGCTCTAGCATTTTCATTACTAGCTGCCATTATGTTAGTAGCATTCAAATCTACGATTTCTTCAAAACCAATTACAAATAAATCGATAGGATATTCCTCGGACTTCTCTGCAAGAAATATAAATAGTTTTATAAGTATACTTTACTTATATTTTGAAGTATAGATGAAATAACTTACTCATCGATTTCTGAGAAGCGTCCAGTAACCAATCAGACAGCGCTATGTCTTTGTAAGCAACGCTTCGGAAATGTTTCCCTCCGTTTACGTTGTATGTAGCAATACTAACTCTTAATTTTTTTATCTCAATATATTCTTTATATCTTTTGCACATTTCATGCAGTAATTTTGAGTGAGCAAGTAGCATATTTGTTGACAAAAGTATTCGAGCTCTATCAGAAAGATCGAGATTTAATGGTGAACCAAGCAATATATCAATAGCTTCTTGTTTATTCGAATCTAGAAGATTATTTTGAATAGTTCTGGCTGCAGATCGTGCACCATCAATTAATTTCGAATTTCCTTGAATTGCACCAGTGCCAGCATAAATTTTACTAATTTCATTTCCATTATTAATCCACATTTGTCGAAAAACTTCATTAAATCTAGATAAAATTTGTTGCTTATTACTTAATTTTAGTAAAAATAATTGTTTTTTAAGGATTTCTAAGGCAATAAAAGTTTGTACACAATTAGTTCTGTCTAAGCAATCTAGACAATTAGAACGAATAATTCCTTGTTGAGTGTGTATAATTTTTTCACCTTCAGAATAAAATAAATTAAATTTTTCAAGAAACACTAATATCTTATCTTTTAATTTAGATATATTTTTTAAATTTCCGTTGCGGCATTCTTGATGATAGTCAAAAGCAATATGAGGAATATCAGAATGCTGTGAATTATTTTGGTGGCACTGGAAAAGTTCACTTAACATTGTTTCACCTTCCTTGTTGCCTGTTAAGCTCGAACTTAACAAGTTTAAAATTAATTGTTGTCCGTAACGTTTCTTCAATAGTACAAAATGTTTATCAAAAGCAGGGGCTGAAACCTCGAAACCTCTTGAAATTTTTATTTTATGCGAGCCAACTTGAATACCTGGCTGTTCCCAAAAAAGTGGTACAGACCCACGAATCTGTACATAGGAAGATACTTCATTATCTATGTAAATTATTTGCTCAGTTTCGACAAAATTAGCAACATGACCATCATCATTTGTGCCCCGTACATTGAATCTAAAATTAAATCAAATTCTTATAAAAGAGTATCTAATTGAAGTATATCTATTTAAATTAATTTTTTTCTTTGAATAGTTTTTAATAATAAATATATTAAAATTTTTTTTAATATTTTCAATTTATTTAAATATAGTCATAAATGCATTGCAATTTTTGTTCCATTTTTTTAATGATAAACGAAATCTGTAATACATTAAAAACAGAATAAACTAACAATATGTTTGCAACAGTAAAATTTAATATTACACAAAAAATTATGGTATGGATAGCGGATATACACTTATTTATAACAGTAAAGTGGCATCATTTTTAGTTTTTAAAGAACATAAATTATACATATTGTTATAATTATGTTATATTTTTTTACTGTTTATAATCGATTTTTAATATAAAGGAAGATTTGTTTTTCAAAAGTTATATCTTTTACGTTTATAGCATTGCAAATATTGAGAACAATAATTAATCATATATGCAAGATATAATTTTTAAAAATACTAAATAATTTCTTTGTATAAAGAGTTTTTACCTCCATAGGTTCTATTTAAATTAAAAATATTTTTGCGTAATAAACTTTACTTAAATTTTCTATATTTTCAATGCGTTTTATTTTAACATGTATACAAAACAAAAATTTGATAAAATAATAATTAATGCTACCTGAAGTCAAATATTTATTATAATTTGCCACATATATTCATTTGTTTCAACTAGATATTTTTAATTTAGACTAATCCTACTTAGGTAATACAATTTAGATATTTTATTTTTTCATGTTTTTAAAGTAAACTCGTTTTTTGATATTCTTCAAAGTCCTGTTTATTTATAAGCAATTTTAATGCGTGTCTGGTTAAGTGATTTAAATTTTGATAACATTATTATTGAAACTCTAACATTATTTATCAGAAAAATTACATCATTTATATATTACGATTATTTGAGTGTTTTGTATGTTAACTATTTCCCCTAGTTATCAACTCTTACATATAATTTTTATCACGATTGATATAGCGATTATTTTTGTTGTTATCCAGTTGGTTCACTTATGCTGTTTCATTTCTGCTGATCTTACTACGAAGCTACTTTCTATTATGCATATGAAATCGATATAGATATATGAATTATGTTGACTCAATTCCAAATAAGAAATTGTATTTTGCTGTATTTAATGATAATACAATCACATATTACAATATAGTTTTGATAATTAAAGTTTAAACATATTTGACTTTTTAATGAAAAGAAAGTATTGGTTATGCATTAATGCATAAATCCTGTATTTCAAGACTTCGATTACAGAAGAAATAGCTTAATGACTCCATTTAAGATTTTTTATCTGATAAATACGTTCAAATACTGTTTGACATTAAATTGTGTTGTACTATCAAAGTCTCGTGAATAAATAAAATGCATACCAAGATATACTTATTTGTAAATATTAAAAATTTAAATAACACATGAAAATTTACTTTCAGTAATAGTAGAATAAATATAAATTTTATATTTACTGATAAATATAAAAATAGAATATTATGTTTCAAAATATTAAATACAATATACTACTGCAATGCAAATTTATCAACACCAATTATTATGTATTAATGACCAGTGCTATTTTTAGGTTAACTTCTGTACTCTATATTATCAATAATAGATAAATTATTAAAGAAATATATTTTGTTTGTGATTTTTAAATATTATTTAACGTTAAGCTAATTTTTTAAATCACTTAAATAATACATGGTCATGAAATAATTAAGTTGCCCTACAAATTTAATGAAATGTCAGAATATTAAATAAAATAAACCTGTAAATATTTATTTCCTTACGGGTATCAAATATTTAAAGATAATATGACTTAAAGACCGAAACCTATTTACTTATAGATTTAAAAATAATATTGATCATATTATTTATTAACTCTTTATTAAAGTTTTGGTCATCAAGCGCCGAAAGTATATTGTACTTGATCATGTAGTTACTTTTTAATAATTCAACTATGATCGAGTCAGTATTTTTTTATTTGCTATACATTACATAAGAGTATGCGTGTGTTATCAATGAAGCAATCTCAACATGTATACATTCAGCATTTGTGTTTAAGTAAATTAGTACTGATTACAAATAAATGTTTACAACGAATGACGATGAATCCTTGTAATCTGATTTTCTACCTTGGAATAAATGAATTAAGAAAAGTACTAGCGTTCAGTATGACTATGCTGCTATCAATCAATAATTTTAGTTTCCTACCTTCTGTAATGAAAGTAATTAGCTATATACATTCGATATATTTTATATATAATTTTTTATTACAATTAAAAAATATTGTAAACAGAATATAAAAATAATATATAAATTTCTGTTGAAAAACGTAAAAGTATGATAAATTCTACTACATATTTGGGAATTTATTCTGCAGAAGTCTATACTGTTTGACAATGATTTCAAGTAATTTATACATACAAACAAACATTTCACTTCTTTTTATATCACTTATTTCTAAAATATGATGCGAATAGTGACACGACTTTTGTGATATTTTAATATCAAAAAATTTCCGTGCACTATTTTATAATAGTTACTTATCTGTAATCTATATAACGTTTAATTATATATTGAACTTGTCTATGAGTTTCTGATATCATATTGATGATTTCAATTACTAAATGTAACAGTACATATTCTGCGCAATATTCCTTTTTGACATATGAATACAGTACACAGCAAACATGTAACATATGGTTCAGTATATATATCTTTTTTGAATTATTATTAGATTCGGTGTATTACTCATTTTTTCAATTTTATTGTTATTATCTTGATTTCAACATATACAATAAATTAATTTCTTTTAATTTGGTTACCAATGGGTTCATTGTGATATATGAATAAGATAGGTAACTAAGTTTAGGAGCACTGTTCAAATAATCAATTTATAGGTTGAGAATTGCTACTTATTATTTTTCTTATCAAGAAATATATTTTTAATATATTTGTTTTAACGAAGTACCTTGTTCCAGCTCTTTCACAGCTTAATCTAGAAATTAGAACAGCTCGGGCCTGTTTATGCCCTCCATACACAGTTCTCATTTCTATACTGCCACACATTACCTTCAATAACCAATGATCTGTACTCACGCCGAATTTTAATAAATGTACGTGTAATACTCGATTCCTGGAAAAACATAATTAATATTTAGAAAATTATATTTATTTAGTCATTTTGAAATATTACTATTATCTGTATTTTTAACATAAAGACTATCCACCAAATTCAATTACAGGAATTTTAAATTTTTTATTTGAAATGAAAATATGCATGTTGTATAAAATGAATATTTTTTAATTTTTACTGTTTATAATGATCCTATTTCTTTTAAACTTATTTGTTTTTTTTTGTAATAAAAATCATTAAATTACTTAATTTGCTTAAGAAATAAAATAGATAAACTAGCTTATAAAATTAACTAAAAGGTAAAAAAATTAATAATTAAAATCTTAAAATTAAATTATGTATACAATAATGAATAATAAATACTTACATATATTTAAAACGATAATAATAATACGCAATTTTTTATTTATAATTACAAATTAGATAAAACTTATATAATCCTAAATTAAAACAAAATTTCCACTATTGAATAAAACTAAAACGAATAAATAAATAAAAATATATAAATTTATGCATTGAATAATTAAAAAAAGAAATTTTATATTGATTCCGTAGATAATTGATAATATTTTGTTACAAGTATATACATAAGTTTTATATTATTCGGTTTGGATGAAAAGTAAATTTTAAACTTTTTTTGAATCGTAACTGTTGGGGATTGCAGCAGTTTAATTCGAATTTAAAATTGGGAAAGTTACAAGCTCTCGGACACTCTTGCTTGCAAACACGATTCAGCGAGTCCAGGAATTTTCCAACAACGTAATTTCTAATATACGACAATATTCCCGCATAGCAACGTCGATGAAGCTTCCAGAATCTTCCAAGGCTGTGCCCTTCGACGCTTCTAGAATATTCCTCAGCTTCGTTCTCTGACATCACGACGATTTTCGACATAGCAACAAGTGACGGCGCTGTTGCCGGCGTCACAAGCTATCACACGGAAATTTAAGAGCAGCGCGCCACGCACCATAGCTCATTCTAATTCTACACCTCGTTCATTGATTTGTTATTATTAGTTAGTGTATTTCACATACTTATAGTATCAGTATCACTTGCACGAACTCCAACCGAAGCCTCAGACAATCGATCTACTAGGCATACGTGCGACATTATAAGAATCTATTGCAACCAGGGTTGCAATCTAACAGTGAAGCCATTGAGATCGTAATCAATAAGGTGCGCCAAACGCCTCCAAAACAGCAAGCCTTGACGGTAGTTCATAAGATGCCTCCTCTTTATTAATTGTACAAATTTAGTCACTCAAAAAAAGTTTTTAGAAGAATAATTTGTACAAATTAAAATTGGAATAGTTGTTCATATAAATTAAGTTATGATGTTATATAAATAAATTATTATAATATATTAATTATTAATTGGGGATCTTGATAATTATTGCTTCATTGATTAATTATCCAGTAATAACAAACAACTACATAAGTATTTAATTATTAATAATTAAGTACTTGTTTCACTTATATTTTCAATATCATTGAATAATCTATTTTTCTTTAAAAATATCTTAATATTTTATTGATTTATATTAATATGTACATTATTTTATGTCGAATATATTAATGTACTCTAATTAGAATATTCGAAAATGTTAAAAACTGCAATAAGTACAAGAAAAAATTTGATATAAAATTCTGTGTGAAGAGGATATATTTTATTATTAATAATGTATTGTTATCTTAAAAGTTTTATTGAAGATCAATTTATTGAAATATACAACTTTATGCATGTTTAAATTATCTTTGCAATATAAGTAAAAATTATCCATAACAAAGAAAAAGCTACTTCTAGTACACAAGTAGTCTATTAGTTTATTATTGAGAGATTTTCTTATTCTGCCTCAAAACATTTTATAGATGACAAATTTGTATATAATAAATTACTTAATAAAAAATAAATTTTTTCTATTTAAAATTTATTTTTATACATTTTTCAATAGAGAATGCACATCCTTCAACTTTTATTAATTTAAATCCAAACTTAATTAAGATTTAGACTTTTACAATTAATTAATATATAAAAAATGTAAAAAATTTTATTATTATGAAGTTTCATTATATTGTTATTTCTTTTTATGACTAATAATTTATATCAATAATTTGTTGATTAATTATATATATGTATGAAATTATTTATATGTGTTCATAATTTATTACTTTTATATTTAAATAATTAAAATTCTATGTATTTGACTTACCAAAAAAATTGTTTATCTGTATTATATGTTTCATATCTTTTTTGAGCATTTAGAGTTATATCAAGAACATGTGATCCTGCTGACCATGCAAAATAAAATGTACCTGAATTCAATACTTTTCTTACTTCAGCAATACGATCTTCATTATTAGTTTGAGTATAATGTAATGGAATGAAATTAGTTTGAGTAATTCTAAATATTTCAGAATCATAAATTTTTCCAACTGAAAAACATCCTGTTATCATAACTAAATAGAAAAAGGTATTTTCACCCGAACTGATTGGTAGCACTCCAAGACATCCATATGCTTCTAATAATTTTGTATATTGAAGTTTCAAGGAATTTGTTTCATATGTTGCTGAAAAATAATTATGTAAAAATAAAATAGTAATAAATATAGCTATTTTATATACCGATTTCATTTTTTTTTTTATAATTTATGTTTCATTGTGTTATACGCTTAATCTAACACTGTAATAATTATGTTAACGTATGAAATCTATGTAATATGTATAATTTATTGAATAAAATTAACAGGATTAAACTTGACTAAAATCAATTTTTGTGTTTTGTCTAATCTTAAATTAATATATATTATATTATATATTATATATTATATATTATATAATATATATTATAGTGTACATTTAACCATTTTCTAAAAATATCTTTTTATTGTGTTTTAGCAATATTTTGTCAACAATAATAAAATCAACTACTAATATTATACATTATGTAGTTCTTATAGAAATTGTATTTTTTCTGTATTCTCTATTTATTATTTAAGTGTTTATTTCTTTTTTTAATCAATACTAGGCATAATATATATTTTCTCAATAATAAACAATTGAATGAATATACTTTATATACGCATTTATATTAAAAGTAATAATATAAATATAAATAATATAAATAATATGTAAGCTTTTCACCATTATGATCAAATAAGGTATTTATTGTTAATAATTTTTATTAACATCGATATGTTACAATATTAAATATATAATACAAATTTATTTTATAAAATTTATGTTTAAATAGATACAAGATGATTGTAGATGACATTAACATTTAATTATATATATATATTAAACTTACTCAAAACAGCTACGATTTGCGATTCAAAAAGAAGTGTTTGACTCTGGTTTCGATGTTCCAAAATAAGCGAATGTGGATTAGGTGGCCTCGATTTTTCATAAATACGAAAAGCTTTTCCCATAGCCATGATAACACGATCAATTTATTGATATAAATTCACATAAACGAAATATATAAAAAAAGTTATTCTTTATTTACAAAATAAACTTTTGTTACCGAATGCAATAAAAATACGGAATATATAATAATGTACATTTTTCTAACAAAACCTTATAATCATTAATACAGTTAAATAGAATAATTTGGTTAAACTTAAACAAATTAAGATAATTTTTGTGTAACTGAACAAATACGAAACATAAATATTATATATTAATTATTATATTAATATGTCATTCAATCTATTTAATAACTATGTTGAGATTAGTTGATATTAACATTTAATGAAAAACAAGATTATTTAAAATAATACTCTAATATTCCGAAAAATATTATAGTCAATAAACGATTTTCAGTTATATACGTTTTTTATGATACATTGAAATATTATCACTTTACAATTAAACTATACCTTTCGAACTCCGTCCTTACACTAAAAATTCATATTAGTGATGCGAAATCAAATGGTTTTTGTGGATTCTGCGTAGTTACCGTTTAGTGTTGATTGGTTGCCTTGAATCTCAATATCTAAGAAGTTTCAATTTTAGTATACAGAATTTCAAACAAAGGCTGAGAGAAGTACATATTTAGATAATAAATCCTGCACTAGATATATGATAGATTATTAATTACTGCAAAATACACGTTGAAACCTATTAAGTATTGTGAAAATATAAATTTCAAATATTTGTCCAGTCTACAATTCTATTTGAATGACGCAAAAATTTTTACATAAACACAGTACTCTACAGATAATATAAAGATTTAAAATTGTGTGCTACACAGAATAAACAAATAATTTAAAATAAAATTTAAAAAAATTATACTAAAGCTGTAAACTACAATCTTGAAAATAAGTGCACTATTTTTATATTTTTAGTATTGCTATCTACAAATGTAAATAATTTATCTTTTTATAAAACATGTGTTCATATATATACATAACATTTACATATTATTTTTTTCTATTCAATATTCTATTTAAATAGCTAGTTTTCAAATATGCCTAACTGCAAGTATTCGTTTATATTTACACTTGTTTTTCACATATTTTTGGAGATAAATATTTAGAAGTATATTCATGTATTGTCCAGAGCTTGTAGATAATATAAAATTATACTTTTAAGTAGTTGTACAAAATTAGAATAAAAGTTTATTAGCTAATTAATTAATACATTGATTAAACTAGTAAATTAATAAATAAGTTAATAAGAATCGATATCGTTACATGAATATAAATATAAAGTATTTTATAAAATTACAATTTAATATTAAAATATTACCATTTGTACATTTCTAATTATAAATTTTATAATCATCTTGATTTATTTTCAAAATTATTCATTAGAAAAATTTACCTCATTTAATTTAAGCTATAGATTTGAAACTTATTTCTATACTCCGTTAAGTCTTATTTTATTTTAATGATTGCAATTGGTTTTTAAATATTTTCGTGTAAAACGTACACATTTTCATGTAATTATACTTTATAAAATAATGCTTCGCTGTCAAAGCTTAAGTTGTATATTAAGTGTTTAATGAATTGTGAATAAATATTTTTGTTCGGGATTGAAGCAGTTTTAAGCAGTGTTTAAAATTGTCAAATTTACAAGATCTCGGACACTCATGTTTGTAAACACGATTCAGCGAGTCCAGGAATTTTCCAACACCGTAATTTCTAATATACGACAATATTCCCGCATAGCAACGTCGATGAAGCTTCCAGAATCTTCCAAGGCTGTGCCCTTCGACGCTTCTAGAATATTCCTCAGCTTCGTTCTCTGACATCACGACGATTTTCGACATAGCAACAAGTGACGGCGCTGTTGCCGGCGTCGCAAGCTACCACGCGAATATTTAAGAGCAGCGCGCCATGCACCGTGGCTCACTATAATTCTATACCTCGCTCATTCATCGGTTATTATTAATTAATGCATTTTCACATACATACAGTATCAATTATCACTTGTGACCGCGCGAAACTTAGCCGCATATCAGACAATCAATCTAAAAAACATACGTGCGTTATTATGAAAATGTGCTACAACAGGTTAGCAATTTAACAGTGAAGCCATTGGAATTGTAACCAACAAGGTGCGCCAGGCACGCAGCCATTTAACATGTACTGTCGGTAGTTCATAAGGTACATCCTTTTATTATTCGTACAAGCTAGTCATCCACGCTCGAATCACGCCACGTATAAAGCCTACAAAGGCTCGCACAATACGCTACAATACGCTACTCAGGCCGATTAGGCCGGAGACCGTACGTTCACCCCCTACATGTAATTACATTATCAACGCTAGAATACAGCCAGTCAAGACTGGTGACGCAATACGCCCTTTCAAGCCGATCAGGCTAGAGATCGTACGTTCACCCCCCTACATGTACTTACATTGTCAAGGTCAGACTATAGTTTCTCAAATAGTCGACTATAACTATCTACCTGTTTATGATTTAATCTTCGCGTGTGACTAACTCTAATATTCCCATTCTCCCTTTGGAGTGTGGTCGATTTACATAACCACTACCAGAGACTACAGAATTTTCCCCCTTTAAGTATGCTTACTCTCCCTACGAAGCATCATTGATTACTATTACCATTACCATTACCATCACTATCTTCCCATGCTTATTGATGAGCATGGTCGATTTCACATGGTGACCTTTACAACATCAGCATAATCTCAATACTCAACATCCAAAGTAATTTCCATAGCATCAACGACAACCAAGGACGCAAGGAAGCACCCTCACCACTGCAATAGAATATCTCCCCTCTCTCTTACTTGACGCAACCAACAAACTGCAATATTATAATAATTCAAAAATCAGAATAAAACAATATCTTCATTCAAAATATATATTCCATAATACTTTCAGCCCTTCCACTAGCCTTTACCCCTTAATCGCTACGGTGTGAGACTAATCCACTGAACTATTGAATTGGTAGTTCGAGCCAAAAAGCAAGCATTCAATTTCGAACAATTTTATATTTAACTGATATAAATTAATAAAAATTAATAAAAAAGATTGAATAAATAATATTGAATTGAAAGAATAATTAAATTATTAGGAAATTAAAGAAAGTATGGAATCTATGATGTCAAATAAATAAATTTTATAAGGTTAATAATATGATAATATACACGCGGTGTAATATGTAATTAAACAAATTTACGAGTGATTAAAAAACAAATATATTTAATGTTATATATAATTAATATTAAATAAAATAAATTAAAAAATGATTATTCTGTATTTAGTCAAAGAAGTTTATTAAGAATAGCACCAAATTTTAATAATATATTTTTCAATAATAAATAAAAGAAGCGAAATAATAGTAATATATAATATTTACATGTATGCCGTACGGTTAAACTGATGTTTTATATGAGTAATTTAAAGGAAGCATAAAGTAAAAATACATCTTAAGATATATAAATAAAAATTGTTTTTCGTGCTATTTATTGAGTTTTATTTTACAAATATACAATTATGATTCTAAGTTGCTAGTGTGAATCGCTCCGATTTTGCCATTCCTTAGTGGTTTATACGTGGAGGTAGCAAGCACTGCAAGTCGAGGTTGGAGGTTGTAAATCTCCGGTACCTCTTGACGTAGTGTGCTTGATGGTAAGTTATTACACTGAGAAGTAATAGGTCGTCAATCTTCGGTACTTTTTTGTGTAATACCATGTAATGGTAACGTATTGAGTTCTACTCACTGACGAGACTGTGTTGGCTGCACGTGTAGTCTTATTTTCCTTTAGAAGGTCCTTGGTGGCTGTACAAAATGTAATTCGCCGTTCCGACTTGTTTTATCAAGTCCGGTTCGACGGATACAAATTGATGCCGTTGAGAACTCAGAGACCACGGGTGTTGTGTGGTAGCAATGAAAGGTCACAAGTAGAAGGGATTTTTATAATAATACAATATAAATGTGGTTGAAGTATTTACGTTTTATTCTGTTATTTATTGACGACAAGGTTGACTAGTAATACTATTATTAATTATGAAAATAATTCTTGTGGTGGAAGTGATGTGTTTGCGGTGGAAAACGTATGCTCATCTACGCAGCTTGATGGTTTGAATACGAATGTCGAATGGCGCGAAGTTTCGTTCGTCGACACTAGCGCTGTTTGAATGAGCACGTGTGTGGTTGAGGTTATGAATGCAGCGTAATGACTGAATGTTACCACAGAGTGGCACGAACTTGATTCGTCAACACTCGTGCTATTTGGTGTTTAATTTCATAAGCGTCCGAGCTTGAACTAAGGTGAAGATTGCCAAAAGGGACGCCCCTTTTTCGGGCGCGAACTTGACGATGCGTACTGGAATCTATTCCGCACTGTCGTTCTAGGAGGAGCTTCTTCGCCCTTAGGTGCTTGTCGATGTAATACTCTGAATCTCAATATATATGTAATTATTGTAGTAATAATACTACTTACGAAGACTAATCGTTGACTCGTCTCCGGACTCTGAAATGCGGATTGTCGTCGCTCCCTTTGAACATGTAACGACGGTTTCTTGAACTGCGTTAATGGCTATACGATGTATGTCGTCGTTCCTCCAGGACTTGTAACTACTGTTCCCGTAACAGCGTTAATGGACTTTCACTAGACACTTAACTGAGTATGAACTATATCAAGAGTATACTATATCGAGCGCGTACTATCAAGAGTTATCTCAAGAATGGAATATCAAGAGTGATGAGTATTGAAAAATGCGCCCCTTAAATACATTTGCTGACCATGAATTTGATTTGAACCTTTGACTTGACTTGTGGCTTCAGAGCTAATTAAGGGCCTAGTCGTCTCTTGGTCTTCATGACAAGAAGACCTCTCATTGCTGCTGCCGCATGCGACAGCTTGTGGGCAGCGGAAAGGGAGGCTTCGCCGACGCATCTGGTGACAGCATTACAACTTGTTGACAGCGGGAAGGGGAAGGAAGGTCCGCTTGCCGTAATGCTTGAAGTAGTTACCGAGCGGAACGAAAATGCAGATGTCTAACTATGGGTTTTTCCCGTGTTTATTG